AATTGCATATTCAACATGAAAGCGTATGTAAGCGTGAAGTATTTGGCGGAAAATACACAGTTCGAATTGCCAAAAAGCTCTGCGTAACAGCCCAAGATTTGGATCCCCTTTCTTGATGCCTTTTTGGACTGCTCCTAGAAGCCGAGATCTACCTGGACCAACACACCGAGATCCTTTTCGAGAGAACAAACTTGCAGATCCGGGTCCAACAGCCTATATGTGTGAACCATCCGGTGTCGTAAATGGAGCACTCGACATTTAGCCACATTGAATAAAAGGCGACTTTTGACCGACCATCCATAAATCCTGTCAAGATCGTTTGGAAGCTGAATACGGTCTTCTGGAACTTTGATCACTCGCCAAAATTTGAGGTCATCGGTGTAGAGTAAACCGTTTGACTCCATTTGACTCACTAGATCGTTTATGGAGATCAAGAATAGACGGGGCCCCAGTACCGAAATCTGTAGCACACCGAATTCGACGTGAATTGGGTTTGACATGGATCCACGTAACCTCACCTCCAAACGCCTGTGCGAGAGAAAAATTGTAGATTCATCCGAGGAGAGGGTTTCTAACGCCGCATCCTTAAAGTTTGGCGAGAAGGATACAATGGTCCAACCGGTCGAATGCCTTAGAGAAATCAAGGTAAGCCACATCAACTCCTGTACCAGCATCCACCAGTTCGGTCCAAGTTGGTTGTGCACGACCGATGCTGGCGGAAGTCGTGTTGCTGCTGAGCAATGTGACCAAAGCCGTGCAGCGAAGACATGAGTGTGCCGGAAATGATAGCCTCTATAACTTTTGAAAGAACTGGCAGAAGAGTCACTGGTCGATAATTAGCTGGGTCGAAACGACTACCCCCTTTGTAAATGGGAGTTATTATTCCGTGTTTCCACATTGCAGGAACGTGCTCATCGTCAAGGCAGTGCTGGAACAGCCGCGCCAAAGTAGTAGCCGCCACTGTAAACGTCTTTTGGCAGATGTCGTACAGGCGCATGGATAGCAGCATTCGCATCCCGATGGCTGCCGTAAAATTTAGACGAGTGAGTTCTAGAGGAAGTACTATAGATTGCAAAGATGCAGGAGACGGCGGGATGCAATGAAAGGTTGGTGCATATTGTTGTTGCAGAACATTCGACGCTTCTTTAGCAGTCTGAGTCAGCCCATCCGCTGTTGTAAGAGAAGGAAGTCCACTTTCAACTTGCGGAAATTGTTCACATTCCTGTACAGAAGCTTATATTTGAAGTTAATCGCTCGGTTAAAGCATGCTGATAAGCCACTTTGTCCTCGCGCACTAATTGGGTACAGTGGTTAAGGTGGACAACATATGCCTTCTAGGTACTCGGATCGGTTTTGTAGGTATACCAGGCGGCGTTGCTCAGCAACATGCGTTTGCGTGTCCTACTCCGTATAAATGACACCATGTTTCTCGAACTGATAGTCTTGGTTTCCGATGCTCCACTAACCAGGATGTTGAACTTACTGACAAAACATTCTCAGGCAATATCGGGTGCATCCTCGGTTGTGAAACTCCAGTCGGTCGCTTCAACGAGTCGGGTTAAAATGTCATAACTGGTTACGGTTCGCGTTGTTTGTGTTCGGTCCTCGGGATATTCAGCATAGCAAGTGTACATGAAATGCAAAGTCGCATGATCACTGCGGCCTAGAGGAGTATCGATTGTCACGCTCGCGATTATCAGTTCTTCATTAGTGAATATCCGGTTCAATATGGATGGTTTGTTATCTCCCCAGAAAATGGTGGGTGAAGTGACGTGGGCATAAAGCGGAAAATCCGAGACAAGATCTTGCAGGTCTGCTTTGAATTGCTCTCCCAGAGTGACTTGTGAGTTTAGAGCACGTAAGTTGAAATCGCCGGCGACCAGAACGTGACTGTACGCAGCCACCAAGTTGCAGTTCATCTCAGGTGTAGATGATGGTGGGCGGTAAGCAACAGTTACTCAGTCAAGGTCGTTCCCTCTCAGCCGTAAGCTGCGCCAAATGGAGTCAGGTACATCGGTTTCCGAATATTGCATAGGTTCGCACTGCAGGCTGTTACGAAAGTAGAGGGCTACCCCACCACCTTTGCTGGCTCCATCATCCCGGACAACGGACATACCTGTTAGCGCGATTTCGGCATCCGTTCTCAATGCGCAACCATGTTTCCGTGATAGCGATGAGGTCCCAAACTGCTGACACATGCCGAAGTCTTAATTTAGATAATTCGCTGGGTAGGCCTCGGGCATTTGTATACATGCATGAGAGCTTCTCGGAGACCAAAAGTATGTTCGTTGGAATGGATGAAACAAATGTTTATGCCGGCCGATAGAGGGTCGGCGGCTAATCGTTTTTTGGATCAGTTGCAGGCTCTCGAGACGAATGTGTATATTCAAGTATCAGATGCCCCGGATCCCGGCGGTCGTTCGTGCACTGTTGTGTCCCTCCGGGGTTATGGCTACTATTGAAGAAGTCCCCGACTCGGGTCCCACAGTTGGTGTTTTCAATGAGATTTGCGCACCCACTGAGTTGTTATTAGAAGGTAGTGGTGTTCTTGCTGCTTACAGATGAATTTCTGTCGGCAACTTGCTACGGAATTCAGTCCAGTTCGTTAGAAGAGTTTGTGCCGTTAGTTCTGATTACAACACCAGTTTCAATAGCCTGGGACCACACCCCTTATAGTTCGGTGATACGGGGATCCTTGTCAACGAGGTGGCTACAACATTTTCGAGAGAAAGAGCCTCACGGATGTAGTGTCATTGCTACCGGTCGTGTACCTGCGCATTGTCGGAAGAGGAATCAGTGAACTCAGGAACACCGTGAGCAGTCAGTTTTCTTGTCTTAAGTCTTTCTGTTCCTCTCTACGTTAATGGGATCCGCTGAACGTTCTTTCCACGGGGTTTCAGATAGTATGTGCACTCCGCTTGAAGCATTGCGGGGTCGATTCGCAGAAAGCAGAACGGCCTCTGTCTTATCCACCGAGTTTAGTGTTACCCGAACTGACCGAGGGGTTCACCGTAGTGCAGTGTGTTTGGGTGACGCGGGATGCGTTTTAATGTCGTGGGATCAGCATGGACACCAATTGCCGTATAGATGGAACTCCAATGAGTTCGATCGTCTGTCAGCCTACCCTTAATTGTATTGGATTCGGGGACATTAGTGCACCCAAGGTTTAAGGCACCATGGTTGCCCCTAGTGGCTACTGGTTTGGTTTGGTTTTGGAGTTTTGGTATGTTACCTGGTTCCTCCCTATGGATGTTTGACAGCAGCTCAGAGTCACCTGTATAACGAAAAAAGTACTGAGTGCAACACACTGTAGTGAAGTTGTAGCGCGCACAGTGCAATGTTTTTACTTATGGGAGAGAGAAGGGATTCGGTACTGGTGGAGATTGAGACGTTGGTGTAAGGTTGGGACGCCTGGCTCTCGTCTTCAGCTTGAATGGGAAATTTTGGGGTGCTTTTCACATACAAGTGCAGGTCCATTTCCTCTCACAGGTGTAACCCTGGCGCTCACTAGTTGCTCGGCTGCTTCTGTTAGTCTTCCACACTTCTTCAGAAGCAGTTAGACAGCTAACAACTGGGACAGCACTGCATACTTGGCGGAACCAAAACGACTCTGTCGTGCTGTTGTACTGTCTTGTTTTTATCATCCCCATCCCAGGGCGCTGAATGTGACGGTTTTTCAAGCAACTGCTGCACACTAGCACAGACTTCACCACTTTAACACATAATTCACACTTGCTCTTAACGTGAGGCATGTTCGCAGAGGAAGTGCAGTTTAAAGATAACACGTTTGCCGGATGATCAGTCAGTGCAGCTTCTCGAGTCAACGATAAGCGTGAGTCAGCGTGTTGTGGCATGCTCGCTGTCACCCGTGATCGCATGTAAACTGTTATATCGGAGCCCCACGACTGATTCCACCCACTAACGGTAGTGATAACACCAACGACCGGGCAACAAAGAATGTTCACGCAGCACGCCAAACCGGCTACCAAGTGTCTTTTTGTGCAACTCAATCCCAATATTCAAATTAGGGCATATCACAGGCTGTGCGGAAAGGCTGGCATTCGATCAGTCAAGGCTGGTCAGTTCAAAAAGCGGGGGATCGATAATTTGCCTTTACGAACGAACGAAATATACAAAGTAAGAGAAGAGCTAATATGCGTAAGATCCAGTGTCGATACAAGCTAACCACAAATGTGAGGTAAAAGCGAAGTTATGCGAAGAAGCGGAAAAGAGGGCAGGGTGAGTAGGGGTGAGTGGGGCAAAACTCACAAAACAACGGGGAGCGGTGAAGTATTCTTACCTCTGCTATAACATAAACACACATTTCAGTGTTGGTCAGCTGATCGATCGATATTAGGCCCAGCTAGTTGAGAACATAGTAAAGAAAACTAAACAGAACGCTGAACACAGATTGAGAGATCACGCATTCTTCCACAGCTGCGTTGAGAAACACGACTGGAATAAGCTTAGGTTTTTAGGACTGCCTCGTATGATGGAATACTGTGTAGAGCTGGTAAATCCGGTTGGAATAAGCGTACAATGACCATGCTGCGAGAAGATAGAGAAGATTATTCCAAATGACCCAGGAAAACGCGAGCCAAGCGTGTGAATTGGACATAAGGATTCACTCTTACATATACTTTTCTAAGTGTCTTTCTTGTCCGAGTTTCATGTGTGTTCCCAGCCAACATTCAGTACTACTGAATAGACTGGAGCAAAGCAACCGCCATTGTTTTATCAAAAAATTCGTACCTACTTTATATCTATGTTTGACCATTTTTTTATTATACGAAGTCATCATTCAAGCGTTCCGTATTCATATTCTCAAGGGGCTTATCAACCCCGAGAAAGACATCCTGTGCAGCATTAAATAACATATTGAAACAACAATCAACTCTTGTGCTCTGTCAAAATCGAAAAATGATTTGCAACCCTGTCGTACGTTTGCAACCATGCGTGGTTGTCGCAACAGAAAATGCTTTTAATTGCCTAAACATGACTTGTCGAAAATCAGAATACATAATTTATGTATTTACAGAAGGTCACAGAAATAGGAGAACGTTCGTAGTCATCCACACAACACGCAGAGGCGCAGTGGCTTGAAACAACCTCGATTCTGCTTGTGCGTCGGCAACATATGCGAAGTCGAGTGGCAAATTTTGAGTTGTCGTCGAAGCAAACGGACTTGAAAATAAACAAAGATTGTGCTGACCAGTTAAAATAGAAAACCGAACGGACAATTTGAACTCTCACCTTCGACCGGCATGCGATAATAGCCGGCCGAAAAGGTGAGCGTTCTGAAGTGAAAATAGCTGTGATTGTTCAGCTCAGAATTCACGTAGGCTGATAAAAAGAAAATGGAAAGGGGTGAAACATTTAAGAGTGTGAAGTCTACAAAAATACGATTTCTGCAGGGTTCAACAACTGGATACCATACACAGGATGCACGAGCGCGTGCGGTGAAAAGTAGAGTAAGAGGTGTACAAAGTAAAGGCCGGGTGACTACCATTCAGTGGTTTCCATGGCAACTAATGGTTCGCTCTCTTCGTCTGAATCTGGGGCTTCTGAATGCGCGTTCAGCTTCTCGCGAAAGAGCGGTGGCACGGCATCAGGATTATATGGAACAAGAGCCAGTGTCCGTTGGGGAGTCCAGCTGTGTAGTGAAGGGCGGGATTGGAGGACGGAATATAGAAGTCAACATACGAAATTACTCAACCAATAAGATGAGAGGGTCCGGAAAGCAGTTAATATATTACCTGAAAGTCGAAGCGAAGCTAACATGGTTTGATATGAAAGCGCCAAATGAAAATTTTATGATCGAAGCAAACGGCACCAGACCGTAAACCATGGCAAGCTGAAGAGTTAATGAGTGGTAGCCGAATGTAAATTTCATTTCCTAAACTGAAACAAGACAGGACACTAGGATTGCAATTTGGCTGTATCCGTCGTAGTTCTATTAGGAAAAGAGGGAGCGACGATGGATAGTGACATTGAGCTTGATATATGGTGTAGAGGAAGCCCAGAGAGGCAGTATATAAAAAGTAAGGTACACATAAGTAAATTGGAAAATATAACCTGCAAAGGGGTGTATGTAACATGCATAAGCATATGCCCACAACATTCGTTGAGTAAGGACAAACATCTCTACTTCGCTGACACAGTTAACGCAGCAGTAAGGAAGGAGTGCGTTACTCAAGTTAGGTTCTCAGATCAGACACAGCGGTTATTTCAACAAGACTTAATAAAAAGTAATATCGCTTTATTTACTCTAGGACGGCAGTTTACATGACTCCCATTTTTATAGAAGCTGTGTATAATACACGCACCTTAATTCCAATTTCACAGAAATTAAGACATTGCATGAACTGTACTGTCGCGTAGCGGATCAACTAGCCAAGTACAAAATGATAACTGAAGATTTCAGCATGCCAAACATCTCGCGAACTTGAAGCCATGAGCCCGAAAGGTTTGCAAATCTGATTTCATGCTTGCATACATATGGATGGACCCGGCATGTTACAACTCCCACCAGAAAGAATAACATATTAGATGAAATATGTAGCACTGGGGTACTACCAATTCTAGAACACATTCCTGGTAGTGATCAAAAGGTGATCTCCCTTTTATTCACAAATAACGACTGCGCCTAAGTCATAAATGCTTCCAAAGTACGGTGAATCAGCTGGTTGGGACGTGTTTGCAAATCCACTCAGGAATGTTTAGTGGGACTTATTGTTCCTCACATCAGATGCTCTGCATAACAACAGCAATATCTCTCTCGAGATACCGACTTCTATCAAACGTAGACATTTTCCGTCAGGTCGCGGAAAGACTCAGGAGAAACAGCAGCGACACTCCAAAAATAACTTATAGTACACTTGCAAAAGGAATAAATTCTTCTTCAGAATGATGTACCATAATGTGGCCACATCGCTGAAGCTGGGTTATCATTCACTCATTCGGTATACACGATGTCTCGAGGTGGAAATACCTCAGCTATTGAGTCGCAATACATAAGAAGAAAAACCTGCAGCAGATGTATGCCAAATAAACCACCAGTAACGGATGAGTCTCGTTCGGGAGAGCCACTAGCCGGCTATTGTGTCGAAAAATGAGCTATGTTACGCCCAGGAAATGAAGCCAGGGTTGGAGGGGGAGGAACAAAGAAACTCACAACACAAATGCCACTGAGGTCGGCACTTCGTCATGTAAACAAGTGTATCCAGCCAACCGTGTACATCGTCTTTCGGACCCCAACCAGGGCCAACTTCAAAATGAGGGTCCTCATTCCTCTTGACCAAATCATCACCTGGACACCTCTCCCCTTTTTCCATCTACACCCCGGCGCACAACCAACACAAGTCGCGGGAGACGGCGTGCGTAAGAAGCTGGCTTATCACACAAAGCAAATCGGTGAGGAAAAACGGGTCATTGACAGTCGAGTCGAAAACCGAGAATTGACCCGTCTTTTAAATTGCAGAACTAACAAAAATAACCAAGACACAATCTCACTCGTAGCAACAGGTGGCTGTAACATAGCATGGCTTAATAAAATTGGGGTAATATTTAACTAATATTTCTGCGAATCCCTCAACGTGGACACAGAACCCATATGCATGGCCTTGCCACCAGTAACAGTCGAGCAACTCAACTGTTTTAGATTTCGGCTCCACGATAGATATAAACTTGTCAGGTGCACAAAATTACTATATTTCATGGGTCAAGACGATATTCCCCCGTAGTTGTGAAAATCGGAGGAGATGACATATTTCTGCTATCGTTGAGTATATTCAATTTAGCCATGAACACTGGCACGGTTCCATTTCAGAAGAAGGAAGCCATAGTTGTGCCGCGACATAAATCGGACTCTCTGGCTTGCCGAACAACCTCCTCGTGGTGCCAGCTGGGTTCCAGCAAATGGTTCGGCGGCAGTGTTCCAGGACGTGGTGGGTTTTCGCCTGGCAAGCGTTCTCCCTATAAAAAGCCACATATGTCCGTTTAACAACACTGTGACGTGGCGGACGTGACTCGCCACTAAATAAAGTCACTGCCCCTTGCTTCATCCTGGCGAAGCATTGTATTCCAGCAACCTTATGCTGTACTTCTGGGGAGCATTGGGCCCCTGTTTGACAAAGGAACAAACAAAAGGCGTATGAACTGAGCAATCAGTCACCTGCTCCCAATGGGCGCGATTCCCTGAACTCGCTCCGCTGCCTTGCGGGCAGGCAATTCAGCCAAAGGCTCGGGGTGGTGTCCCTTAAGTCAACACCCTACTTCGGCTTGGGCAACCGGGTAGTATCTCCCTCTCTGAGGAAACCATGGACATTGTTGTGTTGTGTTTTATTTTACTGTTTCTGTACCTTCGTTTGAATCCCATGGTTTCTGATGGCATTATGTCTGTTAACAGACTTTTGCAAATATATATACTGTTCGAGCTTAAAAAGCATCGCCCGGTAAGTCACACATCAATCTTATCTAAAATTATGCAGCGACATATCAAAGCTAAAACTGCCGAATCCTTACTGTCAAGAAAGACACTAAGCAACTCGCAAAACCAAATCTTGAATAATCAGTCTTGCACTACATACCACCTAAAATTTCTAAACCATATAACTGCCTCGCATGATCTTGGTACGTCAGAAACCCTAATCTACCTCGACATACACAAGGCCTTTGATCGGGTGCCTCATTAAAAATAAATAGGTAAAATGATATCCTATGGGGTCGATGAACTCCTGATTTCTTGGTTCAGGTCATGTCTTACAAGTCGAATGCAAGTGGCACAAATTCAAGGACACTAGTTTGATTCCTAATGTGTGGTGGGGACTTGAGTGCAATTTTAGATTTAGTTCGTCGCAGTTCCCTTTCAGTCAGGTAAGTTCCCAGACCTCTGAAAACGCACCAAAAGGCTGTTTCAATCTTCTGGGTCTCGTAAGTGGTGCGCGCCCCTCGAAATCCTGCCGGGTTCCAACCCCATGACTTCCGGATGGCAGCAGCTTGCGCCCTCAAGCCATGGGCGATGGCGGCGGACCTGTGTGATTATGACTACGATATAGCGCGGCCCATCCTCCCCTGTCATGCCAGTAACGAAGCGTGCAGAGAACTATGGTTGTGATAAGCTCAAGCTTGATCTGTTCTGGTTACGGCGCATGCAGCAAAACGTAGCTATATTCTTCAACACTTTACACAGAAAAATGCATATTTCCAACCTCAACACGACAATCATGCAATCAGCAGTCTACAACACTCGCAACAAACAGAACTCAGTGGCGGAACGCAGGTACAAAAAGAGAAGGTATGCCAAAAGTTTCCTTAACAGGTACGTCAGAGTCTGGAATAAGCTACCAGAAAAATACTTTTATGCACTCTTGAACACGAAATTCGCAAAGGCATTAATAAATTCTTGACTGTACAGAACGTAATCAAACCGTATGACTGGTTTATAACAACAATCCAAGCGTACGAGCAGAGTACAAGTTTCATATGACGCAGTACACGTTTAATCATCATACTCTCTCCTGTGATGTAGCTGTTATATATGTGAGCGGACGGTTAGAGGTCAATTAATACCATTGTGACTGTCACCCATCTGTTATGCCTTTCCAGTCTTTCCAAACTTGAGTATCTGAACTGATGTTAAATTTTCCAGATTCATCTGTGATCAACGTTCTACAAAATTATGTACTTATCCAATCATGCCGATACAGGCGTATCTCGTGTCGTCGAGACCAAAAGTCGATTTATTAATGTAAGCACACACTAGTTTGTGACTTTGCGTGATTTGCTATGCGCGTTGCACGTCCAAAGTGCGAGGTATTGCTACAGGACTAAGCCGGTTCAATACCGGTTACCATAAATCACTAAACATCCGCTGGAAGCTATCGATCAGTAATCGGGAGAAAATAAAATCTCACAGGAAGACTCATTATTTTAATGAGAAGACGATTTGAATCAAATGGTGTATATCTGAAGCAGCAAGTCGCTTCAAGAACATTTGCGCCAACCGCATAATGCGCGTACCTAACTTCCCATTGGTTAACGGAACTGAACTACCAACCGGAGCATCGGACCTACCAGTACAGTGAGAACATTCCTGGGTTGACCTATAAATGTCCATCGGTTTTACACTACTTGCACCAGTTTTCAGTAGCTGTTACTGCGACATGATTTTAGCCGGGATGCGGAGCTAGCAGAGGACGAGATCAGTTCAGCAAGAAAGGCCACTTCGCCCCAGGATGGATCTACAGCCTTGGTTTCTCAATCATGAGCTCTTCGTTCATGAGCACTAAATCAAGCACAGATGGTTTATTTCCGGTTCTGAATCGGGTGGATGAACTGACATGGCTGAAGAGCGGAATGCTTGCAATATACTCTTGCAGGTCGGCCTTAAACTGCTCGTTGGGGGATGCCGGAACTTCCAAATCATGAAGATTGAAGTCACCTGAGATAAGAACATGACTGTATCGTCCTCGTAGGACCCTTCCCAAGGATAATGCCAGGCGGGAGTCCATCTCTGGGGTGGACATTGAGGAACGATAAACAACGGCCAAAAGCTTAGTGTCGTTGCGTCTCAGTTGCAGACTGCACCAGACTGAGTCTATGATCAGTGTTTCCGGATCGGCCACCGGTTCGCACTGCAAGTCGTTGCGGTAG